GCTTACATGGCACGACGGAGGAGTTCCTGTTCTTCTCTTTGTTGCACTCTTTCTGAGCGCTGAAGCACTCCACGTACTTGGCGTTACACTGCGTGACCAGCTGAAAGCAAAGCGAACAACCGGAAGATACCAAACAGTATCTTTTAGTTCTTTTTCCACAAACTTTTTGATGCCCCCATATTGTTATGGATACCACAGAGATTTACTGACTTAATGTGGATGGTTCCATTGAGTGATGTGACTACTGTAATCCCCAAAGTGCCTAATGGTAGCGGGCGTTGAGTCTCAGGGAGCGAGGAATGGGTTCTCAGTGAATACCTACTTGCCACCTCGTCATTTGCTTACTCTTCTTGTTTATGATGCTTAATTGGATCATGTTGTCAGTACTGGTGTCCCTCTTTCTCTGCGGGCTTTAGTCCCGCCACCGTGGGCTCTCAATGTAGTTTTCCTGAGGCTCACTTTCTTCTACACACGTGTTGTGAGTGAGTGTCCCAACCCTCTGCCCAGGCTTGGGGAAGGGGAGGCTGGGCCCAGGGGCCAATAGCCTGTATGTGTGCTTGATGGCCTCACTCAATGCTGGTCAGGCCATAGGCTGCCCGAGCAGAGAGGGACCCAGGCAGCACGTACAGCTTCTCCAGGAGGGTAGGAGTCGAGTGGCTCCCCTCCTGGTCGCTGAAATTTCACACAGCCACGTCATCAAATAGACAGGCAAGTGCCTTTAGTGACTGCAGATGTTGAATTCAAAGCAGTACCTTGAATTGTTTTTCCAGCCGTGTCTTCCCTCCTACGCCAGGTATGAGGATGCTGTTAACGTAACTATGCAGCTGACTTGAAGGGACTTCGGTCTCCTTCCCAAGAATGGCTTCCAACAAGGCATCATGGATGAAAATGTACTGCTCCTGGGAGGGACAATACACAGTGGTGACTGGGGAGGAGCCCCCTAGCGGGGACTAACGGCAGTGCATGTTCTCACAGGTAAGCCTGGCAATTCAATTCAGGGTGTTGGCTCCAAGGGAAAGCCCTTGTCTCCTCAGCTTCCTGTCCCTCGGTAGGGGTCAGGTTTCCACATTGGCCTGCTAACCACAAGGTCAGCTGTTTGAAGCCGTTCCTCTGGAGGGAGGTGAGGCTTCTACTCCCACAGGACCAGCTCTGCACTCATCTTACTTGATTCACCTGACACAGGGAATTCCCAAATGGGATGACAGCCGCAGAGGTCAGGATGTACAGCCCTTGCCTATTCAATCCACACCACCAGTGAATTCCTTCAAGCACTTTCCAGCTAGGACTAGGACGAATGGCACCGACGATGTGCCCTCCATCTCTATTTGACACAGTGTCTGACAAAGGAGGTTCACTGTTTCTCTCCAATCCTGTAAATCCCCTCCAGCCCTAAGGGAATGCAGCTGGCTCCCCACCTCTGTCTGCACGAGGTAGTTGCGCTGTGTCCTGATGTGTTTCAGGAATCCCAGGACGTTGACTGTGCTTTTGTCTTTGATCTGCTGCAGCATGCTGTCTATCACAATGTAGGTGCCGGTCCTGCCCACACCAGCGCTGTAAGAGAGGGAAGACCATCGATTCTGATACTTTTTTCTATCACGTCATTCTAATGAGTAATTGATGTGGGGACCGGGCAAGAGAGTGCCCTGCCCTTTCTTTTGTCGGTCTCCCTTGCAGCTTAAGCAAAGACCAAGGGACAGAGAGGTGACACCCCTGAACCAGATTTGCTGAGGGGAACTGTGTTGTTTAGGCTTGACCTTAACTCCCCGGCCTTTCAATAAAAACTCGCTTTCTGTATAACTTGCCAGTCTGCTTCTATTGCTTGCCATGCCACTTAGAACTTAATATACCTAGTATTTGAAGCAATTTTTGAAAGGGTCCTTTAACAAAGAGTCATAGGATATCTGGAAAACTTTGACCACCTTTATTCACATTTCTTAAGTTAGTAAAAATCACAACAACAGAAAAACACTACAGATCTGAATTCTTTGGCAGAATCTCTCAGAAGTTTCTCCATCTAGCACAACTCCCCGGACACCTATGTGAGACACGATTATTTCCTTTCTAGTGATCCTTAAATGGGTCAAAGAGTAGAGCTCTCGGGGGAATGTTGACACAGAAGATGGCTTCCGACTTTTGCAGAGAATGTGTTTTATGAAAGCATCTTGTCAGAACAACAGAAAACAAATGAGCAACATCTAGTTGATTCCCAAAATTAAAATTAAAAACAAAAGCATTTTAAACAACCAACTGCAGTTGTTTAAGGTAGTTAAGAAAATAGGCTTCATACGAGGCTTCCCCAGTGCTTTAGGGATTTTCACAGCATGTGCAAATTAGAAATCTGAAAATATAATCCTTTCACACGTGCTATACATAGTATTGTTTAGAAGAACTCTACAAAAAAGCCACATATAAAAAGTTAAAGTATCAGTTGTATGAAGCTTGTGCTTAAGGTCAGATTTTTATATATTAGCGTATAATTTCCCCTTTAAAGAATTTAAAAATCTCAGAGCAACTGATGATTTAAAAAAAAATCATTTGGGGGGCTCTTACAGCTCTTATAATATTCCACACATCATTTGTTTCAAGCATATTTGTACCTATGTTGCCAACAACATTTTCTAAACATTTACTTTCTATTTGAGCCCTTGGTATCAGTTCCTCTTTTCCCCCCTCACAACTGATAATTTCTTAAAGGTACTGTATTACTGGCCAGTATAGATATCAAACAGTTGCTGTTCATCCCAGCGTTCAATAGAAAGCTTGATTTCTAACTCAAAGCAGAAGCAGAGCCACAGTGCTCCAGTTCACAGGCCCCCGATTCCCTGCTGGACCCGGGAGGAGGAGCTGACACCTTACCTGCAGTGCACCAACACAGGCCCCGTTTCCGGCATCCGGGCGGCAGAGGATCTCCTCACAAAGGTCAGGACCGGGAGGGCATACTCAGGGACGCCCATGTCAGGCCACTGGGTGTAGTGGTACTGGATCACCACTCTCTCATTCTGACGGCCCTTGGGGTTTCCCTTCTGACCCTGAGGGCAAAGGTGGAAAGAGATATCGTTAGCCAAGGCATGGCCATTCTGCATAGGAATCTCAGAGGGGTGCCAGGCAACAAGACCTGGACCTATTTGCTCTGTTACTGCTATTTTGTGACCATCTCTCGTGCCATAAATGGAGACACTGACGAGCTGGTGAGATCTGCAACAAATGGGGGGCCCACCATCTTGGGGGCTCCACTAGTCTGTCACACCAGTAGTCTGAGCTTTCTTATGATTTCGAATTTTGTCCTATATCCTTCCCCACACCCACAATAACCTTCTATTGTTATCCTGAGTAGAGCAGTCCATAGAGGTTGCTGGGACGAGTTTGTTCTGGTTTTAGAGTCGTGGATGGAGGTTGTGGTTTGCATGATCCATTCGTCTTTGCACTATCTGCTCCCTTGAGTCTTGTTTTCACTCTTTGCTCCAAACAGGGGCAGACCAGCATCCTAGACAGCCACTTGAAGCCTTTTAGGACCCCAATTCACTGCTCCCCACCATAAAACGGAGAACTTGGTCTTTGTGGACTATTTTATGCCTGGATGGCCCTCACGACTGTGGACCTGTCTTTGAGCTAGGTGCTTGGTGATGGTTAAGACGTTTCAGCACTTTACGCCGGGTATGCTGTAGCACTGCACCCTTGGCTGCATTTGTAGCACGCACAAATACATATGTAGAAATGTCCTCGGCCAAACCTATATATACTTGTGGTTGTACTCCAACTCGTCTTCCTATAGCTGTTCAGCATGCACGTCTATCTGCAGCTACTCGTAGATGTTGTTTGTTACGACGGTTATTGCAGATCTGGGGGTGGAGCAGCATTTCCCTCGGCTGCCTTTGCTTGTGTATGATCGCCTTTGCTTTGGTCTTGCTGGGCTGCCCTCCCTCTTACTATATATACATTGCCTCCTCTCCTGTCACCCAAGTTCATACACCTCCTCTCTAGTTAGAGATTTACCTCCCATCCCCGAAAACCAAAGGAGCCTTCTTGCTGTGTATAAACCTTTTCTTGACTCCGTAACTGTGGCCTCAGACAATACTTGCCCTGTGATTGACTTGGCTTTAACTCCCACTCTTTCTCCAGGGTCTAAGTTGGACCCTCGGGAGCCCGAGTGCGAGGAGCTGCTGTAAATCTTCCTGTGGGGGTGGGGGTATCCTGTGTGACAAAGGATCCTTAGTCTCTAGCACCAGAGGCAACCACGTCTCGCTTACCTGTCACTTTCATAAGGGCATTTTTCAGAATAGGTATTTTGGGAATGTCTGATTATTTTATAGTTTGCTACTTTGGAAGAAGTCCCCCCAAATGGGTCAGTTCCTATGCTATGATGGCGGATCGATCAATACTGAAGCCTGAAGGGGACTTTGGCCCTGGGTTACAAAGGCCCTGGGCAGCTTCAGTTTTTAAAATTCCTTTGCCGACTCTCTTTTTTCTCTTTCTTCCTCACCTTTGGCTAAGATCTTCCCCTCTTGTCGCTCCTAGACTTCTTCCTGACCTAAGCGACTTTCAAAATGAGAGTACATGGGTGCTACGTTAACAAGTGTGGAGGGTTCCACTTTGCCATGTGCAGACTGGCTATTGGTGAGCCTGCGCTCGCTAGCAGCTAGCCGAGAGAGACCACAGGCAAGGAAATCCTGCTGCTCGTAAACTGCCGGCACTTCTGCCATGCTAGCCAAGAGAGACCACAGGCAAGGAAATCCTGCTGCTCGTACACTGCCGGCACTTCTGCCATTCACGGAGCTAACTAGACACAGAGAAGGTGGTTAGGGGGATTACACATAGGGCAAAGGAGCTACAGTTTCCACCACTTTCTCAAAGATGGCCAATTGATACAAAGAGCTGCCGCACCTGGTTCCATTGAAAAACTAAAATTTCTCAATGGACAACTTTCTGGAGTCTAATCACACTGCCAGCGTGACCCCTGATCCTTCCTGTGGTGGTGGATTTTGAGAGAGAGACAGTTGCGACACCCTGAAAGCAGCATCTCCTTAGTGTGGCTCTCGGGACGCCGACAGTGCTACAGAGCAGG